TCTATCTTCCTACTCTTCGTTTCATACCGCGAACAGACCAGTACAGTTATTAACAACATTGGAAAGATAAGTGCTAATTACAGCAATAGTTATAATATTGGTAACAGTAATAATACTGGCAGCAATATATTAGTAATGATGATAATAACAATACAACAACAACAGTTGTAAGAGCAGCAGCAGGATTGGTGTGGTGAGAAAGGCCTGTTACAAGAAAGCACAGCCTGACACATATGACATTGAACTGACTGAATGGCGAAAAGAAGTGGGTTACCAGGTTTCTCCTCACCCCTGTGGAAGAAATCCCCCATCCCACCAGTAAAAACACGATTCCGAAAATGTTACAAGGTAAACCCTGTGCTTGCTGCTCCTCCTCCTCTCGTCGTCCTCTGCCTCCGATCCGCTCGTCCAAACTTCTTCCCCCAGCAACGTCTGCCTCCGCTCGGGCGAATTACTTTTTGTGTTCATCGGCGTTTAAGCATGCAGATGGTGCGGCGGCAGGTGATGGCACGAGCACCGACCATTTTCATTCGCTCTGATCGTATTAACTGAACTGGGACGCGAGAGCGAGTAACACTGGCGTATATCCTTTTTTGCTACTCACATACTTTCTTTTTGCTGGCCCCACGGGAGCTGTTTCTTAAATTCTCGGACGCTGTGCGACTCGCATTTCGTTGTCGGAACCTACCCTCAGCGAACAGAACCATTTCTGATGCGAGACGTACCACCAGTAGCACAGGCAATCTCCTGCATGTTCGCACCAGTAAGCCCAGCGCGTTACAGCCTGGGTTTCACTGTTGGATTTCCCCACCCGCTGCTCCTTCCCTTCCCACTCCTCAGTCTTTTCCGGCCTACTTTTTGCAAACGAAGTTGAACATTTTTAGAATCAACTCGAGCATCTGCTTATGTGGAGTTTCTGGAAGTCAGATCCGACTGATGTTTTGTTGCAGTGTTAACTTAAAACTTTGCAGGTGCAAAGGGTTTTTCAAACGGACAGTGCAGAATAAGCGTGTGTACACATGTGTCAGCGGCACCGGCAGCTGTCCGATGACCAAGGAACAGCGGAATCGGTGTCAGTTTTGTCGATTTCAAAAATGCCTGCAGCAGGGCATGGTCCTTGAAGGTGAGCACTTGTAGGGTTTTGTTCCTAGTCAATTTGTTATGGCTGCTTGTCAAACGAGCTGTACAAGCAGCCAAACGCATTTAGACTTCAAAAAAGAAGTAAAAATGAACTTAATGCTTTTATGCTGGCAAGCGTGACGCGGTGAAAAGTAGTGCTACTATCGTGCTGAAGAAAACTGTGAATTTGATCTGGCCAGTGCACGCAGCAGTCCCTCTATCATTTGTTCATCTGTTTCGGTGGCCTGTCAGGCAAACCCGCTGCTATCAGCTTGCTTCTAAACAGCTCTCGGGAAAGGGAGGGAGCTACAGAGAGCTCTGTCAGCGAATGGTTGCTGTTGCCACATGCTATCGTCCGTGTACTCCCTAATATCCCTTGCATCGCACAGACAGTAAATAATATGCGTAAGGCTTTGTCGTAATAAGTCGATACCGTAGTATTCCGAACTACCTCAGCGATAGCGCAGAGCCAAGCAGGCGATGAGGCCGGCAATTCGGGCAGTGGTTCCCGTAACCGAAGCTGCACCATCTGGCACTTGTTCCGCTGCTCACTCTGATAGTGTTCACTCTGCTGAAATTTTCTTTCTTTTTTATTAAGGAAGTGGGCTGTGAATTGCCCGTGCACATTACACGCAGGAGAATGTGCAAGGAGCTAACATCCCAGAAGCAGCAGACCGCAGATGATGCGATCTAGGGCAACTGCAGTAAAAAGCACAGTGTACTGAGCAAGTAGCATGAAATTCAAACAAAACACAAAGCAGAGAGTTGGCTGGGCATATGTGGATGGAGGGAGGAGGAGGGATGCTAATTTATAGTGAAGAGCGGAAGACTATGTCCAAAAGCGTTCCTGCCGGGTAAGTCATTTAAATAACAACAACTAGTGGCCACATCGGGAAATTAGCAATATTCAGTGAAGACACGACACGACAGGATCAAAATCGGAAATGCGTCTTTTTTGAGGGAATTGAATGCGCCATTAGATAGAGATTCCTTTCGAGCTGCCCGGTCAAAAGACTAGCTAGCCATTGAGGCATCGCTACCACACTGCAGCGACTCACTGGAGAATTCTGTGTGTAGGTTTTCCTCGAGAAGTCGTGCGAGCAGTGGGAGCTTTCCTTGATGATGTAAAGGCGCCATCACTGCTGTAAGTTATCAAAAGCGCCGTTGATCTCAGCCAGACTGGAGCGTGAGAGAATTGCACTCGTTCTCCTCCCCTCCTCTGCATTTGTCGCATCGCCCAGCAATAACTAAAATTAAAAACGAATTAACTGGAATGATTTAGCGGTTCGTGAAGACCGGATGCCTGGCGGCCGCAACGGAAGCGCGATTTACAATCTGTACAAACTGAAGTACAAGAAGACGAGGCGTCTGCAGGCGCTCTGCGAAAGCATTCTCCGAGAAAACGCAGCACACGGTGCAGCGTCGCTAGCTGCTGCCCCTTACGGTAGCAGCTCAAGACTTACACCGTCAGGGCGCAGTATGTCTGGAAGTACACCACCGTCAGGAAGTCCACCGTCCGGTACACCAGCTCCTGAATTACGTTCCAGCATCGAGCCACTCAACTTGTCGGCCAAAGAGAGTGTTATCAAAGGCGAGACGATGCCGGGAAGCGGTTGGTGCAGCAGCAGCAGCAGCACTGTCAGTCGACTTACTCCTTCCACGCGATCTCTTCTCCCTCCACAAAACAAAAATTTAATACAGGTTAGTTGTTTTCTGACGCAGCTGTATTGCTCTCCGAATGAGCGGAGAGCTTCATTTGCTAACAAGAAGTGAGTGACAGCTGTGAATTGCAGTAAGCAAAACTATTAAAGATAAGATAAATTTCACACAAGCCTTCTGAAGAGCCAGACGCCCTCCGCTCTACAGAAAAAGCGGGCAGTCAAGTTGACGCAGTTTCGTTTTTTTTGAAGGAAATTGGTGGGGCTCGTTATTTGGCAGGAGAGCTACTGTCTGGCTTGTTTCATCTGTCACTAGGAATATCACTCCGTTTCACGACTTGCTGATTTATTTCGATGCAAAAGCAAACCGGCTCTGGCGATTGCCTGGCAATCAGAGCAGCCTTTAGCTTGCTTGCAAAGCAGAGCGCCTGGATGCTGTCGCAGGGCTTTCTCTCGGGTCTGCGCCTCGCAAGTGGGTGGGAATGCCTTGACTCCCCAGTTCAACATGAGCTTCTGAAGCTTGCTTTTCAAATTGGCTTCATTTGGCCGTATAGAACAACTGTTGTTCTAACTGGTATCAAATCGGATTGGCAGGCAGATCGAGGCCTAACCCGTTTCCTTCAGATGTTCTCTTATTTCAGGAACTGATAGAAATAGACCACATAGAAAGGCTGATCAATTTAAAAGGATTACGAATAGTGCACAGACTGGAGTCATGCAGTAATGATGCGACAACCCCTGCTTGCCAAAGGTTATCTCGAATCGGCGACGAAATCGTGGAACAGCTTGTGGAATGGGCCAAAATGCTGCCATTTTACCATGAATTACCCGTCGAAGTGCATACACATCTGTTAACACAGCGATGGGCTGAGCTGGTTGATTACTTTTATGAGTTTCTGCATTTATGCACTTGAAAACGCATTACGGTCAGATCCTCAGTCTGTGTAGATGTGTCTGTGTGGCGTATGTGTTTGCATCGGATGATTTAACTTCAGCACCACAAAAACTGACAAATGGCGGCGTGCACGAGGGTAGCCGGCGCTATTATGCATTTTGCTCAGTTCCTTGCAGCGGGCGCCTGTTAAGAATTTTCACTGTCTTACACTTCCGTGTGTGCAAAAATAGTCGACATATTGCCCACACGACTAAGTAAAAAGCAGCTGTAATTTTACGATGCTGTTTGCTCTCCACTAGTGTGCCCGTGAAGATAAATTGAGCTTTCAGGCTGTCTTCGTCCCATGACGGGCACGTGAGATTTGGCGCAAGCAAATTTTGTAACTTCGGAACTAAAGCAGCTAAGATGCTAAAATTTTCTGGGGCTGGCCGGCAACCTTTTACGTTCCAGTAAATGTTTGTCAGCCATGCCCAACTTTTGCGTTCCTTTTGTGTCTCACGTGCTAAGAAATGAAATTAGCCATAACTCCGCGCCCAGGTCGATGAAGTGCTGAAATTTCCTGAGCATGGACCAAGACCGTATTTGAGCGGACGCACGTAAAAATGGCATTCGCGTTTCCTCCTCATGCACGAACGCGTGAAATTTTACGTGACTCTATAACCAAATCAGCCAGAGTACTGAAATTTTTCGAGCGTGGTCCGTGACCGTGTTGGGCAGACGCAAATAAACAACACTCACGTTTCCTCTCACGTGCGAATTTAATTGATGCAACTTCAAAACCAAAGCGACTCGAGCGCTAACCTGATCATGACCCAGAATCTCGTTTACTGAGAGCCCTTGTGGCAGAGTGGTGGCATTTTCAGTTTGTCCAGCTAGAAGAACCTACCTGAAAGCGCACTGCTATCTACT